CTCTTCTGGTAGGCCAGTCAAACCGGAGCAGTTTCAGCCCCCAGCCTTGGTACCCCATATCCCTGGCCTTTGTCCATCCTCAGTGGCTTCGCCAACCAGTTACTGCAAGGCAGAGCTGGAAAGGTAGGAGTCACTCAACAGATAACCCTGCAGCTGGTGTGTGGGCAGCCCAAGGGCAGAACTTCCCCACCCCCACCCCACTCGTCCCTCCTGCCTGGATACGAAGGTGTGAGAATCATTCCTCTGGGCCAGCGCCTGAGGTCAACCCTGTGATAGCACCTGGGTCATACGCTATGGAAAGACTGTCCAAGCAATAGGTCAGACAGGTGATCTCACTAATGACTGTGTACTGTCCCAAGAAGTAAGGAGGACCTTCAGGACATCTCACAGATGCCAATGAGGAATGCCAGAAACAGAAAGCCCGGATCTGGATACAGGCTACCGACTGACACAGTGATGCTCCTGGGCTAGATGGCCTTAGCTGCCCATGCTCCTGCTTTCCTCAGGGGACTTACTAAGTTCTCTGGCTTTAGTGTCTTCTATAAAATTAGAACCACGGGCACACCCTTTCTTTCTGATTGACTGAGCATATTAGCCAGACTCCTAGAAGGTTCTTGTTGCTGGGAGACTGGCCTCAGCAACATTCCTGTGGAGCTTCTCCTAGGCTTTACTGTGCTAACCAGCCTGGCCATGGCCAAGGGCAGGAAGGCAGGGTCTTTGAGGCACCATCTCCTATGTACCCACGGAAGTCATTTTAATCTGGGATCCCAGAAGTAGACTTTCTGAATCCTGGAAAAACTGATAACCAGATGGATGATGTGAACGGCCCATGGCCACATAGCAAATAGCAGTTGTAGTGCTGAGGGTTAGTCAGGGGTTCCGGCATGTTCTTGAGTTCTTGCTAGTGCGCCATTGTTTTGACTTGAAGAATGATGTAACAACTAAGGTGTCCCAGTGTGCTCAGCTGGGCTCCTCAGACTCAACACCTCTTAGCGGGTGACAGTTACACTATCAGAGGTTCCCTACGGCCCATGAAGAGCGTGACCAGGACTCACACCCATGACTGCTTGGCTAACATCCCGCATGACATGTATCGTGAACGTCCACTGACAGACCCCATGACCTGAGCTGGGACCCTGCCCCCACCCTACCTCACTCAGTGTGGTCAGGCTCGGGTTCCCACTCTGGAGTGTCAGTGCTGGTCTGGCCTGGGAACAAGCCACTCAGCACCAGACACTTATGCCAAGTGGTTTTGGCCAGACATGAGCAGGCTGGGTGCCTCTGATGTCCGCCAACAATCAGGACGAACCCTTGACAAGTTAGTTCCCTGTGGGCTTCCTATTAAGTCAAGATGTCACTGTCATTCCACCCAAAGACTCCTTTGTCTGTGGCCCACGTGTCCCCTGCCCCAAGCATCACCTGCTCTGTTTTAGCATGAAGAGCCCTCTGTCTCTGTTCATGGTGGTGCAAGTGTCCCTCTCGGCCGACTGGAGCTTGCCTTGTCTTTCCGATGTCACCTTGACAGCCACTGCTCACTGGCCTGACCTAGTGATGGCTTTTCTGGTTCCTGCCTAGCTTGAATCCTTAAAGCCCAGGCAACCTCTGCCTGTCCCCAAAGAGTCTTTTTGTCCATGCCTGGCCACCACCCTCCTTCCTTTGCCTCTCCTGCCTCCCTCGCTGTCTTTCTTAATCATTTTTTCCCCTTCCACCCTTGGGGAGAACACGGAATGGTTCCCGCCACTTAGTCGATTTACAGCCCCTTCCTCAAAACAGCTTTGGCGTCCCCACTATCAGCAGAGACAATGTGTCATTTGAGGTGCTCTCCAGAGGGTATGTCGCGTCTTCCTGTCCCGGTGCCGCTCATGCACACGCCGTGAAGCCCTCCTGGTGTCAGGCTCTTGGAGGAACTGGCGTCTGGGACAGTGCCCAGCACAGCTGCCGCTCACTAATGTTCACTAATGTTCATTTGTCTTCTTTGCCAATTCCTGGTTGGTGGTGGGCAGGTTGGAGACCTTTGCAGATCCACAGGCTCCAGAGAGAAATGGCTGGGAGTTTACTGCAAAGGGGGAAGATTGCAAAATGCTGTCATCCGCTACAGTCTGGTCTTGTCGAATCTCGCCCCATCTTGCCTGGGCGTGGATTTGCCATGGAGACGTGCCTCTTGGTGGTTGGGTGCCTGGCGCTGGGCAATAAATAGACTTGGGTTGTCTGACCAGCTCAAAAAAAATAAACCACACTTCTGTTCTCCCAACCCTGTAGCTCAGTGGTGGCCATCCAAGGCCGAGCGTGCCTTCTTGGGCCGTCTCTCGTCTCGCTGCTCTTGGGCTTTGGCTTCTGGATATAGAGCCCTGTCGTTTTCTCGCTTTCATTCATGTTCATTCATACAAATATTAACTGAGTTTCTGCTCCGGGTCACTATCAACAGAACAGGCTAAAATCCCTGCCCGCACAAGGCTTGTATTTGAAGTTTTCCCAGCCCCCACGGTGGCCCAGGGCAGTGTTCCCATGGAAATCTTTTCCTGAGGATTTCCAGGGCCACTCAGGAAGGGTCACTGAGCCGGCAGGGGCTGGATGGAGCATGTGAAGTAGGTCCTGGTATGGGGTTGGAGGGACACCATACATGTGACAAAGTGTCTCGGTGTTGGCCAATGGCCTCCTTAGCATCTGCTCTTGCTCTGTGTATCCATGGACTCCCCCTACCCTGGCCTTCTCTCTCTGCCCCTGGCTGCCCTCGGTCCCTTTGGTCGTGTCCCCTGTTCTACTTTGACTGCGTTCTGCCTGTTTAATCCAAGGTCTTTACCCATTCCTGTGTTTCTCCCGTACTGAGGGAGGGGCCTGCCTCCCTCCTCACCTTCTACATAGAGCCAGGCCTGGGCTCCCATGTGCCCTGGCAATAGCGTCTCTGGACAACAGGCCTCTTGACCTGACTTAGTCATCCCCCTTCTCCGCAGCCTTCAAGCACAGCCTTCCAGTCTACCGTGAGCCCCACTCTGACAAGGCCTGCCCATCTTCTCCCAGTTCCCTTGCTCCCTATGCGCAGGCCACCCTACCTTCATGTCACCATGCTTGAGCAGACCCCTTCCTCAGAGCTTAGCTTCTGGGTCCTTCCTACATCTCATTTCCATTGTTTTAGGTCCTGTCTCACTCTGTCCTAACACACGGTTAGCATCTGTTGCTGTCCTCAACTTGTCACTAAGGACTAGTCCTGCAGTCATTGTCTAGAGACACAACTAGAGATACAACCTGCATATAGAGATATGCAGGTGGAGTGTGGCTAGGGAAGGTAAGGCTTGTAAGGGGACTGCTCTGTTGTGGGGATGAGGGTCTAGACCTCTTCTGTGTACTGGTAGGATGAACCTTGCCTTGTTAGGTTAAGGGCCTAAGACGTATTCTTTGGGTAAGGTAGATTCCTACAGAGCTCCAAAGGAATGACCATCCCTGCGGACCTGAAAGCTGAATTCAGTGCTCATTGTTTTTGGCTTCGTTAACTGCTTGTTTAATTTTACTAATAGTTTGCGTGGTGTGTTAATTATTTTCCCATTGCTCTGATAAAACACCATGATCAAGGCAACTTACAGAAGGCAGGGTTTATTGGGGGCTTACTGCTCCAGAGGGATAAGAGTCCATCATGGCCTTGAACAGGAGCTGGAGTAGCAAGCTGAGGGCCCCCATCCTTAACCACAGGCAGGAAGAGAGAGCAAACTGGTAATGTCTCCAGGCTTTGAAATCTTGAAACTGGCTCCTAGTGATGCGCTCCCTCCAGCAGGACCACACCCCTAAGCCTCCTCAAACAATCCCATGTCTGGGAACCAAGTATTCAGATGCCAGAGCCCATGGGGACACTGTCCTTCAAACCACCACACGTGGGTGCTGAAATTATTGGCTGGGTGACTGATTAGTGACTGATCGTCGACAGAGCAGTTGGCTGGTTATGGTGTGTGTGTGTGTGTGTGTGTGTGTGTGTGTGTGTGTGTGTGTGTAAATGGAGGCTCAGGCGTGTCACAGTACGTATGTGGAGATTAGGATAATTTCAGGTGTCAATCCTTGCCTTGCACCTTGTTTGAGAAAGGTCTCTCTTCTGTTGCATGCTCCAGGCTAGCTGGTCCGTAAGCTTTTGGGGATTGTCATGTCTACCCGCCATTCAACACAGAAGTGCTAGGACTGCAGAGATGCACTTCCATGTCCAGCTTCATGGGGGCTCTGGGATCCGAACTCAGGTCCTCTCACACCTGCATGGCAAACACTTTAGTCTCATTTTGTAACCCTGTCAGGCCTCAAACTTCCAGACATCCTCCCGCCGTTGCTTCCTAAGCGTTGGGGCTCATAAACGTTCAGACCACACCTTGATGTCGGTCGATTGTTGTTTTTCATGATTGGTTTTTGTTCTGCTGTTTTGTTTTGACAAAGTCTCGCCAGTCTAGGTTGACCTGGAAAGTATACAGCCAAGGATAAACTTGAACTTCTGATCCTTCTGCCTCTGCTGCCCAAATGTTGAGATTGCAGGCGTGTACCACCAGGGCTGGTTTACAAAGTGCTGTGGATAGAACCCATGGCTCCTTGCACGCTAGACACATACTTCTATCTGAGCCTCATCCCTAACCTAGAGCAGTGCTTCTCAACCTGTGGGCCACGACCCCTTGGGGAACCCTCTGTCTCTAAAAATACTTACACTATAATTAATAAAATAGCAAAATTACAGTTACGAAGCAGCAGTGAAAATAATTTTATGGTTGGGGCCAGCACATGAGGAACTATATTAAAGGGTCGAAGCACTAGGAAGGTTGAGCATCACTGCTCTAGATATTTTTGTTGGTAGTGATGTCTTTTCCCTTTTGTTTATAATGGATGAATAGGTTGATAGAACGGGTTGTTTTATTTTAGTTCCCTGTTTCCTTGCTGCCTGACTGTCTCCCATGGTAAGGTGTTTGAGTCCCCTCCCCTCTTACTGAGCTGACCCTATCTGGGTCATATGAAATGACCTCTGTCCTTGTTTTTCACAGGCACTTGTCCGGCTGCCTCCCCACATTTCACAGTGTGATGAAGTCTTTCGGTTCTTTGAGGCGCGGCCTGAGGATGTCAACCCCCCAAAAGAGTGAGTAGTGGCTTCCACGACCCCGACATGATTGGGAGGTGTGGGCCGATGCAGAGAACAATGGGAGGCTCCGGATGTTGGAATCTATTAGAGGGAAAGTTAGCAATGCTTCCCAAGTGAGGTTGCATCCAAGAAACAGATCGCCACTCCCTGTGCTCCTAATGCAGAGGATTGCTGTAGAGATCTCCCTATACAGGTCTATCAGCAGCAGCACATATGTGAGCCATGGTTCATGTAACCTTCAAATAAGGGAGCTCCTTTTCCTTATTTTTGTTGCAGTGAACATTTTTACATATACCACATACAAAATGCACACGTACATATATACATAGTTCATTTTTTAAAAAAGAAATGAAAGCCAGTCATGGTGGTGCATGCCTTTAATCCCAGCACTTGGGAGGCAGAGACAGACAGATCTCTGTGAGTTCAAGGTTATCCAGGCCTACATAGTAAGATCCTGTCTTAAAAGAGAACAGGGAGGTTATACCTGGGTGATATGGATGACGAAGCGGGCCAACAACAGCATCTCCAGGTTTCAGATTAGCCCACACTCTCTACCTCTCCAGGTGGCCTCCCTTCTGGGGACCGTGTGGCCGTCTTCTTCTGCGTTCTCTGTCCTTCCCACCCTGGGCTTGTTCCTTCTTCACACTCTAGGGTAACCATGGCCCTGGGTCCCAACCTGCCATTGCTTGTTCTCAACTGATGGCCTTTCCTTCTCTCCCCCCATAATGATGGGGAGCGCAGACTGTCACGATCGATCAGATGCTCAAAGGGAAAGAGGGGTGTTAGTGGGTGAATCCTGTGAACCCCGCCTTTATCTCAGCCCCCGCTCTTTGCCAGTCAGCTAAGTAAATGGGCCCTGTTTCACATCTCATCCTATGAACTGATGCTGTATAGCCTAGCCTGGTGCCCACCCCCAAAGCTCTCCCTCAGGAGCTGTAGCTCCCACACAACAGCCTGGGTAATGAGGAGTGACTGTTCTGGGTCACACTCTGGAGTCAGAGTGCGCAGCTTCTAGAATTTTGTTTTCCAGTCTCTAGCACAAGCTAATGCTGAGTGCGTGGTGGTGGGCCCCTGAGATAACCCAGCCAATGCCATTGTCTGCAAAAGCCTGGGAACAGGATGCACAGCAGGGACAGGGTGGAAAGCATTTGGCCCTTTATGTCACCATGGAGACAGGAGCTAGCTGCCTCCTTCTTGAAGTAGAACTGGATCAACCCGTGGCTCAAGAAGTGTGGCAGGCTGTGAGATAAGAGTTCAAAGGGGCCCTCTAGCCCTGACCCATCTGGGCACTGCCTCGGGACCCCTCCTCCCTTCCCAGGGAGAGACTTGTGTCCCACTTAATCTGCTCACTCTGAAAAATCCCAGGACTCTCTGTGACCCTGGGCCGACTGCCTGATGAGGTATTAGCCAACTGCCTGCTCCTCCCTCAGAGGGCTGCTTACCTTGCTAGGCCACCTTTCATGTCCCTGACTCCCCGCCACCCCCGTCCTGAAACATAAATATGGATCAAGTAACAGAATATTTTGACTTGTGGTGGCTCTGAAGAGAGTTATCAAATTATCAAAGTCTGTGCATTGCGTTGGAATGTTGCGGACAACCTTGCACACTGCTTCGGGGGTTCTTCCGTTTTGTGAGGTTGGGGTCGTCTTTGCCACCCAGTAGGGAAGACAAAGTCTGAACTGTCCAGTCTTAGGGGGAGGTGGCAGTAGCTCTGATCCGTCACTGACTACTATGGTGGCCAGATGCTGCTCTTTTTTTTTTTTTTTTTTCCTGGTTTTTTGAGACAGGGTTTCTCTGTGGTCTTGGAGCATGTCCTGGAACTCGCTCTGTAGACCAGGCTGGCCTTGAACTCACAGAGATCCACCTGCCTCTGCCTCCCGAGTGCTGGGGTTTAAAGGCGTGGGCCACCACTGCCCAGCCCCCGCTGCTGCTCTTTAAGGCCGGTGGTCTGCCGTAGAAAGAATGCTTTTCTAGATCCAGTTGACGGACTTGTCACGGGGCAGGCCTGGTGCTGCACCCCCCCCCCCTGCATCCACCCCAGGAAGGTTGTTCTAGGACTGATGCCCCTCTGACTATGAACGCAGGCCCATGCACATTTCCGCACCGTAGGGAACAGACTGCTCTGCTAAAGGCCCTGACTTACACCTTTGTAGTTTCTTTGCATCAACCGCCAGCATCCCCCTCAGTAAGTCCTGCAGGTGTTTCCCTCAGCTTCACACTTGGCCTGAGTCTAGCCATCTCCTTGGCTGCCCTGGGGCCAGCCCTTCCCATCTGTTCTGTGGATCATTGGCCTCATGTTTGGTCTCCCAGTTCTCCTCCACTCCCTGGGATCAGATCACGTGACCCCCCCCACGTTCAATCTTCCTGTCATTTACAATCCAAGTTGTCACCTCCCTCTGATCACACTTCCTCCTCATCCAGCTCTGGTCATTTGTCCCTGTATTCTACTCTCAAACCCGCTGGCCACACATGCTTTGAGCCTACTGCTCAGCTCCTAAGAGAAGCAACCCCTCACACCACCTCCGTGAGGACAGCCTTGCCTTCCCTCTCTGAACCTCCCAGCTCACCCCCGTGGCTCCTGTTTCTTTATAGAACTTACCACGATGGCAGTTGTGTCCTCTTACTGACTCCTGTTCGCTGAACATGAGTGCTCCAGCCTCATGTATTGGAAACTGTATCACAGCAGTATTAGGTGGTCTTAGGAGACGGGGCCGTAGAATGGCAAGACAGTCTAGTAGGCAGAGATGAGCATACTTCCTGCTTCACAGACAGCCATCCTTATTCGGTTCTGCTTCATAGACAGCCATTCTTACTCCGTATTAAGCTCTCTGGGCTCTCTCTCTCTCTTTTCTTGTTTTATTTATTTTTATTTTATGTGCATTGTTTCTCTTTGTTTTGTTCACCTGCATGTATGTCTGGGAACTAGAGTTGCAGACAGTTGCCATATGGTGCTGAGCATTGAATCAGGGTCCTCTGGAAGAGCAGCCAGTGCTCTTAACCACAGAGCCATCTCTCCAGTCCCCTCTCTGGGCTCCCTTAAGAGACACTGATCCCACCCATGTAGATTCCACTCATGGCCTAATCACCTCATAAGGCCAACCACCTAATTCAACCAATTGAATGTGACTAACTTTCCGCTTGTAGCTATGAGTTCTTGGAATGCTAGCATTTAAAAAGGTGTGTGTGTGTGTGTGTGTGTGCCTGTGTGCCTGTGTGCCTATGCATGTGTGTATGTGTGACACATATGTGCATGTTCTTGTGTGAACCCCCTGATGAAAGAGGAGAGAAACAGAAAGAGAAGACTGTCCACCTTACTGGCCACGCCCTGTGTCCCCCCCCCCCACACACACAATGTCATGTCATTTACATCTGGGGCCACCTGAGGAGGAGTCTTTCACCCTAGTTAGCAAATGGGGAGTCCGAAGCCCCACACAGCCAAGAAGCAGGGAGGTGCATCTAAAGATGCAGGAATGTTACCTTAGATGCCTGAGAGCAGGCTGCCCTCAGACCTGCCCCCAGGCCAGGACCCTGACCTTGTAGTCATAAGAGGTTAGTGGACAAGCAAGTCTCATGCTGGGCTTCTTAGTCTGTCTGTGTGGACTCCGGGGAGCCATGTGGAACTTGGGCTGAGGAGAGAGATGAAAATAAGAGGCATCCTTGGCACGAGGGATGCAGTCAGCACTTGCCAAGCATGAATGAAGCTATGATTCACATGAATGAATGATTGCACTGACACCGTGTTGAACAGTATCACGCTCAGCTATAGTGTAAGGTCAAAGACATGGGCTACCTAAGACCCTGTCCTCAGAGGGAAGAAAAAAGGCGGGGACTGCCTAAGACCCTGTCCTCAGAAGGAAGAAAAAAGGCGGGGGCTACCTAAGACCCTGTCCCCAGAAGGAAGAAAAAAGACATGGGCTGCCTAAGACTCTGTCCCCAGAAGGAAGAAAAAAGACATGGGCTGCCTAAGACCCTGTCCCCAGAGGGAAGAAAAAAGGCGGGGGCTGCCTAAGACCCTGTCCCCAGAAGGAAGAAAAAAGGCGGGGGGGGGGGGTGGATCAGTAAGATGGCTCAGTGGGTAAAATCCTGGTGTCCTGAGTTCTCTCAGGGGACCCGTATGGTGGAAGGAGAAATCTGATTCCCGAAAGTTGTCCTCGGAGCAACACATCCACACTATGACACAGTGCCTGCATACACACCCACATACAAATAAGCAAATAAGATTTTAAAATTAAAAATTTTAAAACGAGGCAGGATTCCGTTCAGACATACCCTGGGAAGGCTGAGTTTGTTCTGATAACGAAGCTGAACCTGGACAGGTGTGGGGGTGCATTACCTGTGCCCCGATCACGTCTCCCGTAAACACAACCCACCTGTCCGGGTCAGTGCTTGGGTCACGCACGCTGACTCAGCACTCCTGGTTTGCTTTGCTTGGCTTCTGCAGGAACCCTTCAGGCAGTGAACTCTGGGCTCAGGCCTCTCAAACCGTTCCTGCCCAGCCTGCCAGGGCTCTGATGAAATTCTTGAAATTTCATGGGATAGGCAGAGCCCTGCTAAACTAGCTTTTGTTCTTCAGCCCCAGGGTCACAGAACTCTCTGTTGAGGCCCCAAACAATGTCCCAATGTTCACAGAGATTCGAGGTGGGAGGCGGTGGGGCCTGGGCAAATGAGAATCATCTTGCCCCTGCCTGCTTCAAGGGCCAACGTCTCTCTGACTCAGGGGCTTAAGTGGTGCTGGAAAGTCCCTATCCCAGCCCGTTTTGCTCTCCATGAGGTCGAGTCCACCCCAGCACCCTTGCCGCCGCCACCAGTCCCCCTTGGCACACACCCTAGCATCCCTGTGGTGGCTCTGCCCTTGGGACACAGGATCGGGCATACAGGGAAGCAGTCTTAGGCCGAAGTCCAGAGCCCTAGGCAAGGAGATAGGGACAGGCTGGCTCAGGGGGCAAGCCGGCATACAGGGTGAGGCTTTCCAGGGAAGGGGTCCAGAGCCGATGGGA